AAAATCTAATATTTTTTCATTACCTAACTTACGGACTAATTATATTATTACTTTCATACCCTGTCATCATCCCAATTGTGATGAAACTTGACAATTTGTACCTATTATGAATTAGATAGACATACAAACAAATGCATATAATGGAGCAGGGTTGATGATGAAATTGAAACGTGTAGCGGGTTCAATTCCCGCACGAAGCAACTCTTTTTGAGCAACAAATAGTTTTTTTTTATTTTGGGTGTCATATAAAACACATACGTTTTACAGTCAGTAGGTAGGTATTTTTCTTAACACAAGATTCAAACCCGAGAACACGAGATTTCTGACTTGGCTTTCGAGGGTGTATATAACCACCCAACTAACAAGGCAGTTATTTGAAAAAGCAAAGCAAAGTATTGTGTCAAAATATACGAATATTTTTATTTTTTTTAAGGGGGAATTTCATCGAATGGCTGCTCCCGCCTGGGTGAGGCGAGAGGGAGTGTCAGACCCTTACTGACTAAAAACAACCCCGTTCCTTCTCCTGCACGTCGAGCCGGAGCCCCGGTAACCCGTTAGGTTCTCCGCGACCAAATATACGACTACTGTTAAATTAGGATGAGCAACGGCTTGCTTTTAAGCGTTATATAAACATAAAATTACTTCATTAGTAAACATTGCGTATCTACTGTTTTCAAAATACACTAATAAGACTATTTTCCTACCACGCTTTTATTAGGTCCAGACCTGTCACGATGCAATGAAATCTAAGAACCTGAATCACAAAAACTTCTATTCCCTATATAATTACGTAGGTTTGATGACTATCCAATATAATGGTACCAACAAACTGGTCTGGTGATGGAATTGGTGGAACCTTGGGCTACATGATGACCTAAACATATCGAGTTTTAGCCTATTACAATGTTTATTTCTTCTTAATACAAGGACATAGTACCAACCTAAGATTGAAGCGTGTTTTTAGTATTATCTATGCAATTAATTTTTTTATGGCTTCGTTAATATGAAGTATCCGAACGAGGGCCTTAGGTTCGACCAGCGGGATTAGTAAATTGTTCTTAGTGTTATTTTAGTTTTCCTAAATAGCAAAGGCCAGCAGCGCTTCCTTTTAAAGCTACACCTTGAAACTAGCGTACGGCGTGTCGCATTCCGCGCGCACCACAAAGAGCCATCAGACCACCACGGATGGGGTCCAATAGGGCTGATGCCGATACGGAGACGCGGAGAACTTAACGGGTTACCGGAGCTCCAGCTCGAAGGGCAGGAACAGGAATGGGGTGGTTTTTAGTCAATACGAGTCTCACACTCCCTCACGCCTTACCAAGGCGGGAGAAGTCATTCAATGATTTTCCCCCCTTAAAAAAACACCTTCAAACTATTTGAGTTAGCTATCACCCAGTAAGCGTGGAAATCACCGCAAACTCCTACATGGGACCCATGGTTCACCTGTGGTTTATCACAGGCTGTTAAGGATGATATGATTATGGCTCGTATATATCAAACCCTATTACATGGAACTAATGATATCACGTCAACATTAAAAACTCATGAGTGCCCACTGCAGAGCAAAGGGCCTGTTTTCAGACCGAGAAATTTTCAGCATTAATCACAGCGCTTGCCCAAGTCGGGTTGGTGATATTATGATAATCATATTTTAAATATTGTATGTACGAATGAAGTATCTGGTTTTTGTGAAGAACAAAGTACAGAGGTAAATGTAGATGTAATTTAATATAAGTACATACATACTTACATTTTTAATGATTTGCTTAGTAACTTGCAGGCCGTCCTATTTAAGAGTCAATACCTAGTTCCTAAATTTTAAATTACTTCGTCCCTTTCGATCATTATTGCATTTCTTATATCTATCTACACTACACCCACATTACGTGATATTTCACGAAATAATTGTACGAAAATCATAAACTTCTTCTAATCCCACAATTAAATATAATCATGAAACTAGCTGAAAATGTATAAAATATATAAAGCTTTTTGGCAATCATAAAATATTAAATTATCATTAAACACACAATAACAGGCTCACTTTTTTCGTTCAGCCAGTGTTTTATTGCTAGTCCAATTGTAAAAGTATTTAAACTTTTTTGGAAAAGATAAGATCTCTTTTATTTTTTTTATTCCACTGGCACAGGTGACATTTGGGTATTACAAATAAAAATTGAAACACAGATAACAGAAACAATTAATAATTATTACTTCTAAATAATTTTTTGCTTATTTCGGAATATCAGGCGCAGATGTTGAAAGATAAAAAATGTTTGTTCCTTTTGTGTTTATTTGATATGCGATTTACAGATTTTGTGCGACTCACATTTTATTGCTTTGTGTCTATATGAGACTGGGTATGATGTGTGGTGTGCTTAATTCAACCACGATGTAAAAGAAAAATATATATGCTAGAGGTATAAAAGAAAAATATAACAAAAGCTTTAAAGAGAACAAGTTCGGAAGATCTTAGTGTCAAATACCAAGTAATTTAGCTCAATTACAGGCTGTAACACCAGATTCTAAAATATTCAGTGAAATTTTGACATCAATAAACCTTTAAATTCTCTCCTGGAGCCGAAAACCAAAGTCGAGGTTAATATTGTGCTTAGAAAATGTTTCTTAATCTGAATACTACATATTTACTACATACCTAGTAATTAGTATATTATTCTCTAGATCTTGTCAAAATTTCAGAGTTTAGAAGCGTTTTACTCATACCTTCGTACAGGAACTTTATTATCATGATACTAATATTTATTTTAAACATGACACTATACGTTTGCGATGTAACTTAAGTGTACATAGGTATTTATTTCTCTTTCATCCAAATTAATTCAAAACAGCAGAGTTAAATAAAATTTGGCGCAGACAATGTGTGCTCTGGATTAACAAATCCCGTTAAAGCACGTGAAGCCGATGATTATGGAAGTTTCCAACTATAGTCGATACAATCTAAGACATCAATGTCAAGAGATATTTTTATACCTCGTTGTTATAGACTGCTTCGTTGGCCGAGTGGTCGGAAGTGCGACTGCC